AAAGTTTACGAAATATGATGCCTTTAGGAAAAAGTATTACATTCGCATACTGTCATAAGAGAACTGACAGAAACAAAAAATGAAATATGACAGAGTTTCGTATTGACACGGTTCGTTTGAAATTTCACGACATATGATGCCTTTAGAATGGTAAATATATATTACATTCACACTGTCATTAGAAGACTGACTGAAACAATAAAATAAAATGAAACAGAGTTTCGTATTAATACTATTTTGTGCTAAATTTCACGAAATATGATGCCTCTAAAATGGTGAAAAAAATAAATATTGCTTTCACGTACTGTCAATAGAAACTGACAAAAAAAAATTAAAAATATAACAGTTTCGTATTTATACGGTTTGTTCAAAGTCTTACGAAATATGATGTCTTCAGAATGAAAAAAAAAACAAATATTTCATTCACATACTGTCAGTAGAAACTAACAGAAAAAAATGAGACATTTGCATGGAACAGAGAGAGCAATACTCATAAGGGATGTGTAAATATATTTCTTTATTTTAGATAGATCCTCCCAGGATTACATTGAAATACGAGCCTTGAATCAGAACATATTAATTTGAGATTCTACTTAAAACGCATTGGGGTATTCAAGAGAAGGATAAAACATCAAACCGTAACAATATAAGCATATTTGTAACTCAAAAGGAGAAGCTAATAGCCCCTAGTTCATCTCTGTATTAGAAGAAATAGCACTAGTTGTGCGTTAACGAGAAGAGCGTAAAAATATATTAGGGAATATTGAAGAAAACAGGAAGAGATCTCAAGGGTTCGTCTATGTTTCGAGACACTTGAAGAAAATGGTACCAAGAAGAGTAGTTTTGGTGCATGCGTGTGATAAACCTCTGAACATTTCTAAGCCCTCTCATGCGAAAAACTAATGAAATTATGAAATTTTGCAAAGTCAGAAAGCGAGAACCTCGATGGCAAATTGTTACTGTTTTTATTTCGAAGTCAACGCTGCTTTTCCTGAGTTCTGCTTTTTTCATGCAGTTAAACAAGTCGAGCTACTCGCAAAATTGCTGTTTGGAATATATATTGTTTTCTTTACACAGAAAATTGCTTCTAAAAAAAGAAGCAACCTCCCACTTTCTAAGAAAGAATCTCCAACATGGCTAGAGTAGGATTCTGACGAAACGAGATCGAAGATTGGTATTGATTAAAATCCTGATATCTATTTGATAAAATCCTTACGAAATGCTTAAGATACATAAGCCATCTTATCATGTCTCTTTTACGTTCTGGTGGCAGCCGTTGTTTGGAGTTCTTCTATGCTCTCGTTTCTACGCAACAGAAATCTTTTAATGCCGGCTCGAAATTGTCTGTTGATACCACTGTAAATAAGAGGGTTGAAGAGCGAATTACAGTATCGAAGAAAGAGAATAACATGATTAATAACTGTAAATGTCTTCGTTACCTGTAAAGACGTGTACGTGTAAACAAGATAAAAAACAAACAGCGGGCACCAGCAGAGAAAGTGGGTGCCCATTATGATGGTCAAAGTCTTTGCTCCTTTAAGTTCCCGCTTCAATCTTCGTTTGGAGTGTCCCGATCCCTCGGGATCACATTGCGTCGATTGAGAGTTAATTCTTCGCGCGTGCGAGCGAGCAACGATGAACATGTTCCAGTAAGCAAACGTCATCACACAAACTGGGCTAATGAAACTCGCTATCGTGATAAAGGTCACGTACCCGCGGCTTAAGAAAAAACACTGCAGCAGATTTTTGCTATTGTTGGAATTTCTGACCAAAGATAGGAAGGCGGTGCAAGAGACAATCGCTGAGTAAGTCCAGATAAAAACCATGCCAAAAATGGCCTTACGCTGAGTGACTATCGAATGGTAATGCAAGGAATATTTCACGGCCACGTAACGTTCCAGGCTGATCATGACAAGGCACAAAATGGACGCCGTACCGCACGCAATGTCCAGAACGATCTGGGAACGACAGAGTATGATGTTTTCCGGGGCTAACTGACTTGCAACAAATAAGGGGATCAGAACAGCAGCGATTACAACGTCCACGACAGCCAGGTTGATGACAAAGTAATGTCTTATTAATCGGAGCTGACTGTACAAGTAGAACACAACACACACCAACGTATTCGTCCCGATAGACACGGATGCAATCAGAAGGAGAGGTATAATCAAGGACAGAGTGGCGCCAACAGGAGTCTCTTCCGTTGGCCAACAAAGATCTACGAAGGACTTCCAACACCCACGATTGAAATCGGGCTCTGAAATATTATTCTCATCATCAATTTTAGCGCAGTTGTTGTAAGAAATGTTACATGCGAGGCTGACCTCTTCATCCATTTTTTCCCACTTGATTTGTCTTACCAAGAGAGAAGCGGAAAATTTTCTTCGAGCATTTCACACACTTTGAAGTGTAACACGAGACGCAAATGGCGCATTGTGAAGTTCTTCGGACGTGCAGGGCCTTAAACACGGTTATCGAACAGGAAATAAACAGAAATAATTAATGGAAGACTAAGTGTATTTGATCAGCTGATTGATTGCGGGAGGAAGGCTTTCGCGAGACAAGTAGTATTTCGGTAACCTGTCAAATTCAAAGCCCATATGTCAAATTCTGAGGCTTTGTATCCGAAATGCTACAAATTAAACCAAAAGAGAGCAAAAGATATTTCAAAATTTACTTGTACTCTGTCGACTGTCTCTTAGTTGACTTAGATGAGCTTTACTGACAATAAATTCAAGGCGCATGTGTTTCCTCTGATGGCTGTCCCTTTAACACTCGCCTAGTCAAAAACATGAATAATTTCGCTCCGAAATATGTATTTAACATCTGCACGGTTTGGAAAGCTATCAATTACCGAAAAGTACGGTTGCTGTTTCACTTTTTAAGTTTTGACGACAAATCTTCCATTATTTCAAAAGAAATTTGAGAATACAAACTTAAAATTGGAATATTACGATTTCTCCAAGATATAAAGCAATTTCGTTTGATATATTTGTTTATGTTATGGTTTTTTCTGGTTAAGCAAATAGTTCACTTTTCCAGACCTTTTGCGCTTTCACTTTTGAATTGTTTAACGCATGTGTCGCAAACATTTCGCACACACTGACGGTGAAAATAATTAAAACCTTCGTTGTCAGTTGTCAAACCTCACTATTCGAGCTCGAGACAACCAAACTAACGTTTGTTATTCATTTGAAGGAACTATTTGTTCTTCAAAGTGCCAATATGGCATATGGCAATATGGCTTTGAAAAGGCCGAAATCATCCGAAATTACTCTCGGGGTTTGAATAAACGATCTACGTTACAGGAAGTATGAAATAATATTAAAATTTCATGATCGGCAATATCAACAAAAAAGTCAGAAAATCCAAAGGTACACGCATCTTCGCCGATTACAAATCTAGCGTCATTTGAAAGCCTTAAATGATTACCCTTTATCAATTCCCGCGAATTTGGCGCCAAGTTAAGCTTGTACTTTCTTCCGTAATAAATTCATTTTCTTTTATTGGCAAAGAAGCAAAATCGCGCTACTGGAATAAGACGAATAATAAGTTACAATTGTCTCCATATACTAATACGAGGAGTCGCCTCATTCACTTTTGTTTGCTTAGTTTGTATAGTCATCGGCAAAATTTGCTTCAAAAGGGTATCTCGTGTTGGTCTCCGTGCATTTAATGATGATATTGTGCTGTTACCTAGTAATGGATTGCGGGCTCAGATGAAGTAAAAGTAAGAAAATCTTTATACCTCATGGCACTAAATAATAATAATAATGCTAATAATAACAATTACAAAAAAGTTTAAACATTAGGTTCAACGTCTTCTCACACGAAACAAAACAGGAATATTTTTTGTTAATGTAGACAGCAACTGTTGTCATCAGAACGCGTAAACATAGTCTCACATTTCAAGGGCATACTTAGTTTTTCCAAAAATTATTAACTCACTCAAGAAGAAAGATAGTAAACGCTAAAAGCATTTTTGTTTTCGTTAAATGCACTTCAAGCGATAAAGGTTTTCTCATCCCCTTATCTCGGGCTTCCTGGGTCACGCAACTATGGTAGTCCCTGGAACATTATCAAAACATTTAGAGACAAAAATCGCACAGCGAAAAGGAAACAAATGAACGAAAAAACATTAAGTATGAAAAGATATCGACTTTGCTTAAGCTTTAGTCGTAATATCAACCTACCCTTTCCAAGACCTTGGCAGTTTATCTAGTTAACAGGCGCATAAATAACCTTGAGATGATTGAATAGGATGAGGATTGAACTTCATCAATTCAAACAAACAGCACCAGTTGTTTTTATAGCTCGAGTGCAGAAGCAGGGATTCTACCCTTAGCTACTTTGCCGATTGTAAACTAAAATAAAACACACTCCTCTCCATTGGAAAATTGCATTTCTATCTGTGTATTCCGTCGGCTGCAAATTTTTACTAATTTTTACAAGAAGGACTTCAATAAACAAAATTATCTAAAGTTCTCAAAAGCTCCAGGCATTTATTAATGATTCAAGGATTTGCAGGAGGGGAAGCTATGAGATGGTTCACTTATTACGTTTGTTCATCTGGGTTCTGCAGGCAAGATGTTTATCGATATCACGGGCTTGGGTGCCATAACTGCGGATACCAAACTGTTGCAAATAACATTGTTTTTACAGTGCTCTCAAAGGTATCTCCGAGACAAATTGTGGATACAACTAGCAAAATCTACGTCCGTGACATATTCCTGTGACAACGTCTTGTGCTTGAGGTTTTCGCACATGAGCATTCTTCTTTCTAACGCGTTACACAACCCCTAGGGAAGGCCTCTATAATCGTACCTACTACGACTTTCTCCTCCGCAGAGTTCTCCTGAAGATATCCGCTGGACACCACGACTGTAGATGCAAACCAATGCCACAGCATCATCTGCGTTCAGCGGGCATATGGCGGAAGCGCTCTTCTAAGGCTCATGATTAGATTATATCGTGAGAACGAAGTAGAGACGCACAATATCTTGTGAAAAAGGTTCCTGTACATTTTATTTTCCCCTTTACGTTTAACAGCGTTGCTTTCTATTGAATTTTATTTCGCCAGCGCAGTTCAGCAACTTAAGTGTGTTGTTATTAGGAACCTATTTTCTGGTAACAAAGAGCAGCAGCTATTTTCTTTCAAAGAAAAAAAATCTATTTGATTCTCAACTAGATGTAGATGCTACCAGCAATTTTTTAACATAATCTTCAACTAAAAAGAAAAATTGCTAGGTGAATTTAAACAATGTAAAACATAGCTAATTATTTCAAATTATGATTAATGAAACCTTTCGAATTTAACCTTATTTAGGAAAAATAATTACCCGACAAAAAATTTCAGAAGTTACCCTAAATTTAAAACAATTATATGCCAACGCAAATTTTATTTAAAAGCAATTTTTATATTTTACAATTAAAAATTCAACCTTTTGGAATCATTTCCTAAATCTATAAAAGCTCGCTGTTAAAGCCACTAAATTCTTATGTCCACCATTAACATTGTACAATATCAGTTACTATCATACAAGGAGGCAAAATAAAATCGACTGCAGCAATTAAATAGCTATCCAATGTTTCAACGAATCCTCTTAACTATGGTCAAGCTAACTTCATTCAAGGACGCTGTTGCATGAGGGTAAAAATTAAATTTCTGTACAAACAAAAACGATAGACTGTAGCAATTGAAAAACATTGTAGTTGCAATATGCTATTTTCATGATAAAATTATCCTGAATGTGCAAATTATTGTTGTTAAAATTTGAGTATCAATTTAAGATCTTATAATTTGTGGTCTTTCGTCAGTGCCTTTTGGAATGAACATTATGAAAATTCTACCAATTAAAATATGCCCATTAAAAGCTACGCTTGACATCATAATTCAATAATTCGAGTGCGGCATTTCTTCCTTGTTTGTTTTTTATTACTATTCGATTCACTGTCTGAGCTCTGTCGGGGCTTGGGGTTTAGCCGCGGTGACCGTGAGCGAACCTGCTGAGAAAACGACGACAACTTGTTCCGCAGCTCAGGAATTAGAGTCCGCCCTCGCGCCTGCGCAGTGGCGAATATGTTCATTTTCGGAACGCGGTTTCCAACTGAAATATTCCGAAACCGAGCCCCGATGCGCCTTCGTTCCGGGCTCTTTTCGCCATTACTCTCTCCTTCGGTGGACGCCATCCTTCCCAACTCCACGCTGGAGTGGCTATGGCCGAATTTTAACTGAGACCCCGAGCCGTGGTAGCTGACTTGGAGTCCTTCAATGTTAGCTTCGCACCCTTCCGCTTGGACCTCTCCATTAGCCTGTTTTAACTCAGTCACGTCTTCTCGCCCAATGACGCTTTTCTTGGAGCTGTTGACATGTTCTACAAAGTCTTCTCCCTTATCTTCAGATTCATTTGTTAGTTTACTTGGCTCATTTTGAATCAATTGGTTCTTGCTACTCGCTATTTCCTTTGTTCTCGGTCCAAGTGATTCATATTCCTTCTCCTGCAAAGGATGACTTCCTTCACTTATCACTGCTGATGCATTAGCATCGTCATTCTCTTCATCATTGGCCTGTGATACATAACCGTTCGTAATTTCACCTTGTTCAATTGGATCAAGCTGATCTTTTATACCGATTATTTCCTCCCTTTCTAAACCAGTCAAATCATTTCCTTTCACATCTGTCAGGTGAAACCCCTCACTTTTCGCTCCTCCCTCAACGATACCGTCAAATCCTGCTAAAGGATTCTCTGTGAAGACGCTTCCTCCTTCCTCACCTTGACTATTTGGCCTTACACCTCTCTGCGCTTCTTCTTCTTCTACTTCTTCTATCTCTTCTTCTTCTTCGTTCTTTGTGTCGTCACCAACAACAAACGTGGCTTCCGTTAATGATTTGTCTTCATTATTCAAGACCTCTGTTTCACAGCTTTCCCCTTTGGCCGATGCGTCTTCGTCTTCATTTTCTGTTTGGTAACTTCCGTTTTCACTCGTCGGCGATATCGTCGCTTCACTTTCAGCGACCTCACTTTTGATTTTCGGGTCAGCAACTTCCTTCTGAGAGGAACCTTCAGCCTGTAAGTAAAAGAGTTGAATTACTATGCTTTGTTTTATTTCCCTTTTTTCTTTTGGTTTTGCTACGACATATTTGGTTAATCATGCATCAAGAGCGTACACGCCAGTATTTCTAATTTTTCAGTTTGTTTTCATCACTTGAAAGCAGGAGATAAAGTTACAGTCGGAATACATTTTGGCCTTACCGAGATACAACATTGTGTAAGATTGGAATGATTAAAATGATAAAAGTAGTCTGTTACCTGGTTATCTAGGATTTAAAAAAAAACGGGATAGGGAGAAAGAACTTCGCTGCCAGACCTCAGGCATGAAACTTTTAACACCATGCAGAGTAGATTACCATTTAAGATAATATTTTTGTCCTCCCATTGGCCGGCGTGTTTTTTGAGAATTTAGAACAAGACTGACCTCTGGGTCATAATAATCCATAGGGTCAGTTTCTCCAGACGTTTTATCGTCGTCCTCACTCCCCGAGCCGCTGGAACAGCTCTGCGGTGCACTGGCACTGGAAATGTTAAACTCTTCCTCGTCATTTAGTCCTCTCTTGGCAAGGCACGAGTCCGAGAAAGATGTAGGTAAACTTCCAAGTCTGGTACGGCGAAAGGAAGCGAGGGAAAAGTCGTCTTTACTGTCATGAACAAATGATTTACTTCTCGGCTTGATGTATGGTTTGGACCAGGTACTTAAGCGAGACTTGGACGAAATTTGAATCACACCGGGTGCAATCTTGGTCTTTTTCCTGAATATCGACAAAAATAGTCAAGAACAAACGAAGACACGAAATAGACCCAACTGGACTGGTGTTCCGAAGTTTGGGCACGCAAAGGCGATGAGCTTCAACTTCGAAAGGTTTGAGTCACAGAACGTGGAACACGAAATGCAAGATGAGAGCGAACGTGAAATGGATTTTTCACATACAGGCTCGAACGAGATCACTGGAAATGACTCACCTGTCTAATCGACATTCAGTAACTTTTAATCCCAGATCTAACGATGCTCGTGCCGCGGCAAATGCGTCCGCAATACTAAGTAAAACACCTGAACGAAAAAAAAAACAGGTATAATCACTCGCGTAAATACAGATGTAGACTGTTTCGAGTCTGATTTGTTTGATGTGCCCTCAAGGCAAAGACTTGGATAGTCTCTTTCGCAGCCGTTTATTGCTTTTTGTACGTCATACGCCAGGGAGAAAGCGTCTAACTTGACATGACGAGCAGCAACAGAAGAGATGGACCGAAAGGGGGGAGGGGGGGGGGACTGCGGGGGCTGTAGCAAACGCATGTGTTCGCTTTCCCTTAGCTAACATGTTTGTACGGCCGCAAGCGAGCGTTACGGTCAAGGGTATTGTCATTAACAGGGGAAACGGAGTCATCTTTGTAAATCTAACAGTTATTAGTAAATGCGACAGCAAAGTAGAGATCCATGTTTTCTACATTTTCAACACCTCACTTACTTCTGGCGTCTTCCGCCGTACGGTGCTGTATGGTCCGAAGAGTATGAAAGTAACCTGAAGTACCCTGATGCCGCCGATGTATTCGAATGAAAAGGTGTTTGGACTTGACAGCTGCCTCGAACCCTATAAAATAATGATTGTAAGCTACCGGAGTGATTGTGAAGCGTAATTTTATAAGATGAACAAAGCCTAAAGCGGAAGCCCCTCTAATGTAAAGAAAATTCTGGTCTTACATTTATGACAGTCATGGTATTTTTTCAGGCAGGTGTTGCGGAGCAGCGCCCACGAGGCAAGGGTTCTCAGATGTTCTTATCGGTACTTAACTTTATGTAACGTTAGCTTAAAATCTATCTGTTTACGTCTTTCCTCGATATCTTTTTTTTTTTTTTTGCGAGGTTTGTGTTGACTTTAGTTTTAGAGTTATCTTAGCATACACAGACACATTGTCTTTAAAGAATTGCTTTTATGTGTCAAACAACAGTACTGTTTATACCACGCTCAAAATAGTCGACAAGAACCTCTTCCCTCATTTAACGTTTCCTGTTTGAAGCTAAAAGATGACAGAAGACACCAAAATTTTGAGGGGGAGGGGGTGAATAGACTACCTTACCAAGGAAAACAGAGATGAAAAAGGAAGTAATAGGGAGTGGAAAAAGGTTAATGTGTCACAAATTTTGTCGCCGATTGTAGGTTCGCGAATGCGTAAATTCCTCACCAATCTCGATTTTTTCTAAGTCTTCAAGGGCAATGCGTTCATACTGGGTTATTCTCTCGGCTTCATCGTCATAGCTGCAAATTGAAAAAAAATAAATAATAATAAAAAATAAATGAAGAATTACTTCCTACAGAACGTGTCACTCCTCTAAGACAATCAATCGAACAGCAAAAACTGCGCTTACCTTGCAACGTAATAGGCGTGGTAAGTAAGTAAAAGAATGACGTCCTGATCTTGCGTGACTTCACTATCCGTGCTAAAAAACCGACAAAAAGGGAATACTTAGTTTGCTCAAAAATCTTAAAAAAGAGTTAAACAGACAAACACTCTCCCTGTTTTGTCACGTTTTTCTGGTTGTATTTATCTAAACTCCATTACTAAAAAGAGAGACTGACTGACAAGCAGCTTAGCTGTAATGGTGATGAGAATAGACATGTTGTCAGCTAGAGGATGAGAAAGGAGAAAGAAAAGGAAAAAACAAACAAACCGAGTGACAAAGTCTGGATAAGCTTTACCTTTACATTTGCGTTTTAAAGAAAGTGGTCCAAATTTTTACATCAAGTACACAACGAGGCACCTCAAAACCGAACACTATCCCCGATTATTTTCGAGTCTCAAATCAAAATTGCTCCAGGGTCGACGCTTTTATCAGTCACCGTAGTTTGCCATTCACCTGTTGAAGGGATCAACTAACGCCCAGCCACATATACACTCCTCTTCATCAGTCAGAAGTAACTGGTTACAATGCTGTATCAGCTGTGCAACACACTCCTCTCTCTCCATTGTCCACTGCTCTTCCTCAGGTCCTTTGTTCATGGCCGCTATCAAAGCTGCTATGTCCTCTGTGACTGGGTTTCCAAGCATTACATCTAAATGAGGATAAGAATAAAAATAAGATTTATAAAATTAAAAAAAAAAAAAAGTTGATATAAAGGAAAAGGCGGAATTTTAATTCTACAAGTACTCAGCTCTAAACTCAAAACATGCCAGCGCTCCTCGGCGGAGATCGAGAAGAAAGATAATTTTTTTAATACATGCTGGCAAGTGTTGATCAGTTTTCCACCTTCTTGTAACATTAACTCTGCAAGAGGAACTCCCATAAACAGTCTAGACTCCACAAGTAAGCAGATGTCATGATAGCGTAACACGATGTCCCTTTGGACGCTCTTATGAGTTATGGATGCTCTCTAAATATTGATGAGTGAGTTACAATACGTACCAATTAAGGTCTGCCTATAAGCAGCCTTAAATCTGTTCAGGTAATATCTAAAGGGAAAAACAGACACATTTGAATCGCAATTCTGTAAGTACACTAAAAATTGCGCAAACCCGATCATTCCTTACAGTCATATTGTAAGCTAACGACATATATAATAATCTAGTTAAGCAAACCTGTTGGCAGAGTTGTATCCATCTTTCATTACACCAGTAAACCTTCTCTCGCCTGTCCTTGTGAAGTCTCCCTAGAGGTATGGAAAAAAAGATGGGGTGTCCTTACTCTGCGCCATAGTTAAGGGAGCTTCAATGGTCGTGGCTTGTTGATATAAACCTTTTAAATGGTCAACTATTCAAACTAAGTATAGCCGTTGTTTCACAAAACCCTGTCCTAAGCCATCTTCAATTTAGCCGAATCTTTATTCTGAAGATTTACTGAAGCTAATTGTGTAAGGACTTGTATTTAATTATATCAACCTTCTTATAGAGAATCCCTGATGCCCACTGTTTGCGTAAAACCGCGGTTTGGGTGAGACCCCGCGTAAATAACCGGCCCTTTAAGTGTGGCATATCCAATCAGTTGCAATTTCATGTTCTCCATTCTTCCTTACTCATTCGTATTTGGTTTATATTTCTTATTTTTGGCGTGCAAAACATGCATCTTGTGTCTTCCCCAACAAGAACGGTTTTTGCCGGTTGTACCAATAAAAGCAAAAAAACAAGCAAACAATCAAACAAACAAAAACAAACAGTATACCTTCATTGCCGCAGTGCCAGCGTATTGTCGACTGATTGCATCTCCATTACTGGCCCACATCTCCTGAAAAGCCGTCCTTATAGAAGAGGGAAGGATTTGGTCTGGAAGCTGTTTGCCCAACTTTTTCAGCTGAGTTGAAAAGAAATACATTCACTACAAAAAGCTGAACAGGCCAACAAACGGAAGAACGAAAAAATTAACAAACAACGACAGAGGGACTGAGGGACAGAGGGACGGGGTAAAGTCCGAAAGGGTGAAGAGACAAGATAACGAGCGAACGGATACATGGACGGACAGACAAGTAACAGACGGACGAACCAAGGGGGGAGAGGACAGAGGGTCGGTGTAACAGATGGACGTACCAACGCACAGAAGTAAGAAGGCATGGACGGAGAAAGGAAGAGACGGCAAAACCGGGGGCGATAGAGGCATGGAGGCACAGGCGCAAGGACGGAAGAAGGAAATTATGGGCCGAAGGAGCCACGGAGAGACGAGGAACGAAGAAACGAAGGACCAAGAGGACTGAGGAAAGGAGGGAGGAAGGAAGGAACGAATAACGAAGGAAAGAAGTATTATTGTTCAGTTAGAATAGGTTACCCCACATCTCTTAACAATCTCGTTTCCTAGAGGCTAGCGTTTCCTTTATTTTACAACACCAGCCATTTCCAAAGTACTAAATCTAGCCATACCTGTACACCTGTTTTACCACTTACCTGTTGTTCCATTATGTACCGTGCTAGAGCTGCTTGCACAACATTCGTCCGGTCCAGACAATCCATACAGTTGACACGAAACACACCTCTCTGGTCACAGATGATTCCCTTATCATCAGTCCTTCCAAACAAGAGCAAAGAATCTTCAAAACACACACCATGAAGGAAATAAACTGCTTTTACCCGAAGTAAACAGATAAATTTGTCAATAATGACATCAATTCAACGTGCATGGGCGGAGAGAGGAACGGTAAAGATACTTCTTTGGTTTTTCACCAGTAAATTACTTTATCATTCCTGTTTACTATTGGCCCAAGACACACAACGATAGAAATGGACTTGCATGGGTTTCTTCTTCTCCCTAAGTAGACTAGGGCCATCGTGTATATAACTGAAATTCAACCACAGGCCTCGAGATCCCAGATTAATTCAAGTATGTCCGCTTGGTTAATGGCATCGGGTTTGAAATATAAAGGTCTTGGACTTTCTGCCACTCAATTGGATCTGTGTCTCGAACACTCCAAGAAAAACCCTTCTACTGCGCGTCGCAAAATTTATGGCCCCCTGATTTGCCTTCCACCAATAGAGATTTTCTAATATATTAATCAGAGTTCTTGTAAGTGAATTTGCCTCGGTATATATAGTGTTCCAAATGGACACAGGAGCACTTATATATCAACTATGAATAAAGCTTAAAATTCTTCGAGAATTAATGAAGACGTTATGAAAAACCGTTTGCCATACCAGCAGTATCTCACTTCCTTAATAACTTCTAGAATGCTCTCCACCAAAACTGACACGTTCTCGAATTTCATTCCACGACTGCGACAAAAAGCAGAAAAGCATTTTAAGTTAACTTTAACAGAATTTTGTCAAATTCAATCATCACTGTGACACGAATCTTGAAGGATAGTTCAGAACGCCCTTGACAGTAAACTCTAGTTATCACCTTATTGAGACGGAAGTAAGAGTCATCTGATTGCTGGAGTATCTTCCCCCGTGAGGAAATTTTGTTCTTTACAAAAGAAATGAAGGAATTAAGTGCAAAATAACTTACCAATACTCATGAAAATCAAAAGTAATGTAGGTGAGGAAAGGACTGTTGTAGGCCAAGATGTTGTCCATGAAGACATCACTTATTATCTGGTAAAAGCATTGAGATAATTTAAGTTACACAGCAAACCTCTCGCAATAACGTGTGACACAGAAAAAATAAATTAAGGGCTTCTTTTACTAAGTACAAACAACGTATTATTTGGCTTCAAATGGAAAAAAAGCGGTAAATGTCGAAAGAAATTGTTGTGCCGCTTCTGTGGGTGTATTACAAGATAATTCGGTTTTAACAACTGAGTTGATAATGTAAATTAGCCACCGTAGAGAGTTTCTAAAGCTGACGGTTTGAGCGTTAGCCCTTCTTCAGAGGATTTCACTTCATTTAAAACTGGGCGGAATCTAATTCCTCTGCAATTCATATTTTTTTCTTCAGTACGTGTTATTTATTCTTCAATTCAACAATTTAATATGTTGATCACAGTAAGTATCTATTAATTTAATCAAAGCGTGATTTACAATCATCACTCTCTCTTACCTTTTCCCTTCCTGATTGATCCACTAAATTTATAACCGCCTGATAGGAAATAGCACATAATTGATAACAGCACGATAACTCACAAGCAATACAAAACACATGCAGCATACGAGGCGTCACTTTCTTTTCTACGTTATTTAGGTTAGCGGAGACCATGGCCAGGCGAGCGAGAGAGGCAAGACAAGACTACTTTCTTTGAGCTTTCGCTTGCCTTTGATTGTCTGGGAAATGCGAAATAGAGAACGACACCTGTTCCACAGGCTACGGACCAAATAAGAGGTCATCTAAAGTGTTTCGGTCTGTTTAAAAGTGAACCAGAAAATTGTTGTTGAGATACAAAGCTCTACTTACCACACTCTTATAAAGTTCCAATTGATGATCAAAATGCTTTCTAAAGGCGAACTGAGTCTCCACTTCATCTGCGTGGTAGAAGGATGTCCATATATTAAACAAACGAAAAAACGAAACAAAAGACTATTGTGTTGACAGCTATGTTCAGGGCATGGTGTTGTGTACAAATTTTAACCGAAAAGGCCGCCTAAAAAGGTTTCAATAAAGAGAGAGTAGTTGACGTTTTATTGTAATGTCCCTTAAGAAGTCAAAGTAATAAATTAAAATTTTCACACGAGTCCCAAGTAGAGTTGAGACATTTTTATTTCAATCACCTGTGGGAACAATTTGGCCACCAAAACGCCGATTTGGAAACATTTTAACAACACAGCGAAAAACAGTCCCGTTTTAAAGGTTTTTCTTTACTTGAAACATATCCCTGCTCGTAACCGGATAAATGATGGAAGTCTCGTTAGAAGCACTACACTCTGCTACAATTAGTTCACCTCATTATTCTATGAAGACTACAAGTGTACACCCGTAGCGTTTCAATTGACACCGGAAGTGACTGCACCCTGACGAAAATAACTTCATAATTTTTTTTTCCAATTCTACGCGTGTACATGCCCGTCTCGAGTGTCTTTGCGATTCAACACCATAAGTTTCTCCTGTGTACCTCTGTCTAATCTTGGTGGTGGTCGGTATTTGTAACCCGGTTGACTCCAGTACACGGGTACAGAGCCCCTCACTTGTGCAAATGATACATTGTGGGTTGAAGTGCAAATTATCTGTAGAACAAAAACACTACGTCAGAAAAAAAAAAAAGAAAAAAAAAGAAAAAAAAAGAAAAAAAAACAATAACATTCTAAGACTGTGAACAGCTAGAAAATATACATTTGACAAAGCTATGTAATCGACACAGTTGGACAACGTGACGGGCCGATAAGCGTATAATTCTCAAACCTGTTCTGTTTCGACAAAATTTGCAACATCTCCATTATCATCCACACCACGTCTCCTGTAACGAGTCCCTGGAACGAAAAAAAAGCGCAGAAGTAGAATCAGTGACAAAAGTGGTTTGCACTCAAAGCAACTTTCACTTGACTGTCGGAAGTACTCTGGGATTGCTTTGGTTCCACCTTAAATCAGTAAGTGACAGAACTCTTCCACTTACAAGATCTGAGGTTGATTCTCCCAACTGATACAGGGTAATTTAGAATCGTAAACTGAGCTAATAACGACACAGGGTAATTTAGTATCATCAACTGAGTTGATACAGGGCGTGAAATTAACTTTTTTTTCTGATAGCCACTTGGCTCCTGAATTCTTCAAAGTGGTAGCCAATTCAAAAAAAGTTGGTCGCCATTTTATGCTGTCAGCGTTCTAGATAGACCCTCCAAAATTAAGTTAGGGAAAAGATCTTTGACGTGCTACAAAGTGGACACTAGGATGTATGATATACAACCTTCAGGCTCATCTAAATCCAAGATGGCGTCTAGTTATCGATCGAGATACATGTGCTAAACTAAACGAGGAAGTTTGCCGCGGATTTATCTTTGCAAATTTATTTAATTCACTATATCTCTTGGTAAGGTTCTGATGAAACGTTGTAGTCGCCAATTTGGCGACTAACTTTCAGGATTTGGTCGCCAAAGTGAAAAATTTAGTCGCACTGGCGCCTGTATTAGGCGCAATTTCACGCCCTGCTGGTAACGTAAATTGGTCACCGTAAAGAGTTTCAAAGCTGACCTTTCGATCGTTTGCCCTTCGTCAAAGAGAATAAGAGGAAACCTTCGAAAGGCTAACCCTTGAAACGTCAGCTTTGAAACTCCTTACGGTGGCCAATTTACGTCATCAAATCTGTTCGGTTGATAATAATAACTTACCCTGTTATACTCTCCCACCGACACAGCACCAAAGTTTCTTTAGAAACTTACCACCTTCATTCATGATGACTACACATTACTAATCGCCCAGTCTTGAGAATTTCGTGTTTCATCATTAGGAAAGGGTTAACACACTTAAATTATATGTTCAAAATTAATGCCGGGAACATGGCAGTTGGACAGTGTTCTAATGTATGTGTTTCATGTTTACCAGGTATATCATCTAACTTTACTTAATACTTTTGCACAAAAATGATTAATAACCACTTTAGGAAATTATTGAAGTTTGACTCAAGCCAATCACGTCCACAGTCTTTAACCTTGGCAACTTTGTGTACTCTTGTTGTTGCTTTTTCGGAGTCGAGTCTTTGGGGTTTTTTTATATTGCGGAGTCGGACTCTAGCCTCCCCTTCGTAAAATGATTTTTCAGAGGTAAACGAGGAGATACATTGAAATGAACACGTAAATTGAAACTAGTGACCTCGGTGATTCTCACGAGGTAAATTATTGTCATCTAGTCATAACGACACGACACTTGTCTCTTGAGACGAGACTCTTGTCTCACAACAAACAACAAGACGAATCATTCTCTTTGGAGTGTAACAGCGTGCACATCTCAAATGTACAAAGGTGTACATACATGTACATGTTAATGTGATATTGATATGTTACTGATATGTGTATGCTGCTTACAGCTAACATAGCTATACATACAAGACCTTACCAGCTCGATGAATACTCCTCCTGGATATCAGTACCAGCTGGAACTCCTCTGGCGGGAAAGGCGCTGTTTTCTTCTCGTCATTTTCATCAGCATCCTCATCTTGGAAGGTGTTTATACAGTGCTCTATCTTACAGTAGCCTTGGATTATTGGGGTCGCCCACTTACTGGCAAGAGGATCCTGTACAAAAAGAGAAGAACATTCCATCTGTTAAAAGCCGACGTCAGTGAATAATGCCTTCATTACAGACATAATCTCAAGTTTCTCTCATCATCAATAGATGTACTAAGAATACTATAGTCAGTTATGCAAAGATGGATATGTAATTCAAAAGATAAACACAGCTTTTAGTTATGATGGCAGCCCTGAGAGCAGTGTAGCTTATTAGAGATGTACAACAAAGGCTTCTGTCTCACTGATGCATGCCCAATCAGGAATGAGTGTGTGAGATAAAGCATACACAATAGTTATGCCACACGTGTGCCATAAAACAAATAAATAATTAAATAAATACAAAATAGGTAAAACAAACTACATTGCCTCTACACACTGTTACTCACCTCACTGGTCAAAAGTTCTTTTACCATAAAGTGGTTCCAGAAAAACCTCTTGTCAAACTGAATATTAACAAAATATACATTAGAATAAAATACAAAAAAAATCATCTCCCATATAAAAATCACTAATGATAGCAAAATTAAACAAATGTAATGGATGCAGTCACTCAGCTAAGGACTTTGCAGTTTAGGAATACACTACACTTATGCTGTTTATTCATTATGAATCAATTCAAAAAGAGCTTTTTCCGTGCACTTACATGAAAACATCGACAAGTGTACATGGGGTATAGGTAAAAATGAGGCAGAGGGCCAAAAAAAATGGCCTCCTACTTTAGAAAAATGGTCCACACAATTTGCATTCAGGATGAGAGATAAAAGCAGGAGAATGGTGTACTGTATCTAAAGAATGAGCCACACACTGTTAACTGCACCTTGTGTGAATCAAATATAAACTGCAGGTCATGCCATCAACATTCAGTCTGAGAATTTCAGGTACTGTAGCAGCACCAGAATTCTCTGATATGTACATGCAAAGAACACCATGTTTTGCAGTTATAACCAATCCATCTATAAATTTGGCACGTACAGGGGTGCATGTACAGGGGTGTACATTGCTTACCCTCTTCCAAACTGGATCAGCTGCATTGTACTTTCCACTGAACTGTCTCTGTAGGGTGTTGGTCAGGTCCCCAGTTGGTGAGTAAAAGAAGGAGTCAGAGTCATTGAACATCTTCTGCAGCTCCTGGACGACAAGAAAATTATTTCATTTAATTGACAAGTGACAGCAACACTGTGTAAAAATGTCCATGAAACTAAATGGAATGCACTAAATTGTACAGCCTTACAGTGTGTTATCATGCCAATTGTTCACGCAACTAACTTGACAAGAAAGAAAAAAAAAGGACCAAACTGACCCTAACAATGATGAAAAACAATTTTACCTAACAAAAGCATACTCAACAAAAGATACTTGAAGGAAAGCATTTCTACAATGTTACATATTATTCTTTAAAATGCCTCCATGTATTCATGCGCGCATCAGTATTTTAACCCTTGTTCATAACCCCTTTTGATGACCAGTGATAGACAAAATTGGATAACCAAGAAGCAAGAATCAATTTTGCTTACCAGGCAAGTGATTGCAGACAGAATTTGATAACAGAAAGTCATGTAACCAGTTGATCAACACATCAAACCCACAAATTAAACTTATCGCCACCGATCACTTTTGCTTGCGAGAAAATAAACCCACAACTCTAAGACACTGCACGGTCCTTAAGGCTAGCTTTAATACACTCACTATCCTGTTGGCACCCAAATTTGGCTACTGATGACCAGTCACATTCAAGAATTTTGCTACACTGGCATGGTTTGGGTTAATAATAATAACGCATCATTGTGTAACCATTGTATACAATGCAGTGTAATCCAAATAAATATAATGTAATCATTAACGTTGTCTGTCCCACGTGTTGTTTCTAAGATGTACCAGCAAAACTTCACTGCACTTCACACTTCACAAGTTTGCACATTAATTAATTTTTTTCCAACTATTATTCCACTGTCAAGTCTATCACTTTGTCAGCTATGCTGTACTTTGCTCTGCCTTTTGTTTCAATTTGTTAGTTGTTCTTTTAAAAGATATTCAGTTTATTATGCACTTTTATTTCAGCGGCAACTGAATGCATATGCAATTGGAGAATAACCTAATAATGACTCCTCACAACAATTGCTTACCTCAACAAATCTTCTTTCTAACTTCTCTTTGTCTTTCAAGTCCCTGTCTTTGATGTTCTGTAAATAAAATTTGACAGACAACTAATCATAAGAAATATGTACATGTTCATGTACTGAGTCATCTATAAGTGAAAAGTCTATCTTAGGTTACAATTGTACTGTACATGTATGTTACAAGTCAGGCTCGAATTGTTTCATTTTGTAAATTTTTCACATCATTGTGAGTTTTATTTCTTTTTGCCTAGCACATTTTTTTTAAATTTTGTATCAAACCCTTAAGCACACAGAGATAAAAAAAAAAATAATTAAGAATGAAAAATATTTACACCAAAACAGAAAAAAAAAATTGAAATGCACTGTACAGCTCACATCATACTTCATCAAATCATGTGACTAAGCCAGCGTGAGAGCCTATAAACACCTTAGCTGAGTTGTTAAAACAAGATTACCCCTTTAACTCTCAATAGGGACCAAGACAGAATTTCTCCTTACAATATCAGTACAATATCAACCAGATAAGTGATGAGAATAAAGAAAATATAAATTTGGGGATAATTACTGTGTAGTTGATCCAATACTAAATTCTCTGAGCTAATATTGTAAGGATTGTATGGCTGACACTAAGGAGAATTAAAAATTTGATCTGGGAGTTAAAGGGTATTAGTATGCAATCTGATTTCAGATCTGAAAGCTTTAAAAGAAAATTCAGTCAAATTCTTTTTGTCTAGAATATGATTATTGGATGCTCCTAAAAGAATGCAAAAATTTTCCTAAAAAGGCTTTTAAATGAAGGAATACAGAAAATACAGTACATGTATATTCTTTTCTTCATTTATTTACCAGACCTGTTATAATCTAAATGCATTTATTCATTTTTTTGTTAACTTTGAAAAAACATTTGACCACACAGCCTTTTTACCTTTTCTTTCAAAGTTGAAGCTGCAGTTTTCAGTTTGTTCCATGTTTGTCCCAGTCCTTTTTCTGTTCCTGCCAGTCCTCCTCCAACACCTATTATTTTCCGCGCCCGGCCACCACTTTGATGTTGTTCACAAGGCTACAATAACATAGAATAAAGAACTGTAATAAATAAAAGATTCCTTAATGTACTTACATAATGTGCAAGAAGCAAGATTACACAAACAAACATGAAACTTTTGCTAGTTGACTGGCAATATTCAATTATTTAATTAAAGATGTCTGTCTGTTTGCTTGTTTTTTGTTTGATTGTCATTTAGGGGTAGTTATTATCTTGCCAAGCATCACAGTAAAATTTACAATTCTGCAATTGCAATCTTTTATAAATGCACAGATGTATGATAATTTTACTAATGTACACTTTTACCAAAACATTTTTCAGTTGAACATATCCTTTATTTTTGTACCATTAAAAAGCTAGGTCAACCAATATTAATCCTTCACACCCTAAGATCAGAATTCATATTCTCCATACTGTTCTCTCTATATTTACTAAGGAACTGACAAGGAGAATTTGTCTAACAGTCAAGAGTTTCTTTAGTTGACAATGCATGATTCAGTGGTGATATAATTTGTAAGGAGAAATTAGATACAAGTCATTTTTACAGGTTAAAGGTTCAAGCCTCCAAACTGTTTTCTAAACATTTCCTTAGTTGTTGACAAGAAGAATCTATTAATCAATCAAGAGGTATTTTAGACAGAGATCGTTTCCCTTATACTCATGAACCTTAATGTTTCATTCAAGGGTGATATTGTAAGGAGAACTTGGATACTAATCACTGCTAGGGATTTAAGGGTTAAATGAATAAATAAATGAATAAAAGTAATGGCCAGCTATCTCCCTGAACATACATGTACTACAGTACAAGAATCTCAAATACTTGAAAATTGTCAGTGGAGAGCACCCAATGGTACATGAACCAATCCAAAACAAAATGATACAAAGTCACTGAAATGAACACAACCGCCTTCAATATTTTTTAAACATGAACACTATGTATTGAAAAATTTATATGCTGTAGTGCTTACATCAAGATCAAATTCTGGTGATTCACTGGAAGATAACGTCAGTGCTGCGATCCTGTCAATTCTGTAAACTTCATGACCCCCTGGTAAGTTACCGACATGTGTTTGCTTTGATATCACTATCAGTCTCCAATCAGCACCTGATGCCATGAAATACAACAGATTAATTAGGGCAGATTTTAGGAAAAAGACATGCAGAAAGGCAAGAAATGTAGAGCAAATAAAATTTACCCAATACTACCCCAATGTTTAACCAACATTCTGCATAAATCACCAAAAAATTATGTCACATCAATATGGAACTGATTTCAAATTCAATTTGAACAAGAAGCTGACCAGCCTGCAATATGGTTGTTGGTAGTACATGCTTTTGTACCTCTCTTCAATAGTAAACATGCAAACTTGAAGGGAAAAACTTAATGACAATCAGATATTATCATTGCAACCTGTTTCCAGGGATTACAAGTTGAAATATCAACTGCAGAATATCAGCCATTTGTATGAAATACCATATTCAATGTAAATTAGAGCTTGAAATACAGGTGTACATGTATTAACAAAACGTTTAAGAATTTCAACTCTCTCGACAGTAATCACAGTGAGATGTTACATTTTTCTTGCGTAGTTTAAAGTCAGTGCACTTAACCCTTTAACTCCCAGATGTGATTAACAAATAACTTCTCCCTACAATATCCATGTACTATCCAGCAAACTGGTAATGAGAATGTATCAGGTAGAAGTTATCGTGATTGAACACCAAATTCTTGTAACTTATTCAAAAGGAAATGACTGTGTTGTAGCTAGAGCTGAGAATTAATAAGCAGATCTTGGGAGTTAAAGGGTTAAAAAAACTCTTTAAAATATCAATCTAGCATAATTATTATGAATTTATAATTTTTTCAACGGATTCAACCAACTTCAACCCCACCACAACAAACTGATTGACATTGCATATTCAACTGTTAACAAATGTAAAAGAAATGACAATAAATTATTAACACAGCACTTAGCTGATGAAAAGGAAAATGTACTTATAAGTAAAAACCCAGCAAAAGGCCAATAAAACAGGGTTTCATTAAATCTTTAATACTAGCCTTCTAAAACAGCATATAGAGCATCTTATTGCTCAATGTGAAGATTTAATTTACTAACTTTAACCCTCTAACTCCCAGATCAAATTTGTAATTCTCCTCACTGTCAACGGTATAATTTTTATAATGTTAGTTCAGAGAATTTATTATTGGATCAACTAATTATCCCCAAATTGATATTTTTCTTTATTCTCATTACCTATCTGGTTGATATTGTATTGATATTGTAAGGAGAAATTCTTTCTTGGTCACTCATGGGAGTTAAAGGGTTAAAGAGGAGAAAAATGACAACAATAGACCCTTAATCCAAAACAGCCTCGCAGTTTCAGGTGACTTGCAGCACTGGGGACATGTACATGTATGTACAAGTCTGTAATTGCAAAACCACAAAATGAATTACTCAGTCCAAAGTAAACATAGTTAATGATATCAACATCCTGCTGAAGTAACAGCACAGTAAATTCAATGCCAAGTCCTAGGATTTCAAATCTCATGGCAAACAGTCATTCAATATTCCATGCTTAACTACCATCAAAACAAGATAAACACATTTAACTTGAATTTTGATCAATAAGGCTGAATACATTAATTGGAAACTTAATATTCTTTCTTTAATTTTGAGAACATGGTGATGACACAGTACTGGAAACAGTTTTGAGCATGAAGTCTTAGGGTTTAACCCTTTAACTCCCATGAGTGACCAAAACAGAATTTCTCCTTACAATATCAGTACAATATCAATCAGACAAGTGATGAGAATAAAGAAAAATATAAGTTTGAGGATTTTCTAGTTGATCCAGTACCAAATTCTTAGAACTAGCATCATAAGAATTGTATGGCAGACAGTAAGGAGAATCACCAATGAGATCTTGGGCATTAAAGGGTTCAATGCTATATTTACCAAATTATACAAGGAAAAAATTATGCGGTATAGAAGCACTGAGTACAGTACAGATACAATTACTGGCATCAGAAAAAATATCTCACCATAAAACATTGATGTGCAAATGACAGTGAACAGTACACGTGAAAGAATGTGTTCCAGGGAATAGAAACATTTTCAAGCCCATAATTTCATTGTTATGTTAGATAAATATGAAAGGACTTCAGTGAACAACCAAAATGGTTAAGTCAGCATCAGATGCGGGAGATCTCACTTACTCAAGCCTATTCTCCTGATGTTAAAAGCATGAAGTAATCTGATGAATTTTCAAGTCACCTGAGAGATTTTAGGCGGCGATATTAATTACATGTGGTGGATTTTGTAGGTTATCGCATCAAAAGGAGTTCAGCACTCTGTAACCACCAATAGATAATTTAAATATTTCAAATGCACTGCACAAAAAGGAAGGAAAATACAGAAAAGAGAAAACAAAGATAACCAAGGTCATGACAGAAATTAATTAATTATACCTCATCTAATCCATGAAGATGTAGTCATGTGTGCTAATGAAACCTTTAACAATCAAAAATCTGTAATTTTTAGAGTTCGCAATGTCAAGAAATAAAAGAGAAATTCCCATCAGGTGAGCACAAAGAAACACATCATTAAAAGTCTGACATGCTCAGTGTGAATTTCCAAAAAAAAATCATTAGTGGTTGTTGAGGAGTGAGACACAAAGATAAACTGGGTACATTCTATCCATTTATATTTTATATGCTTTGAATTTCGATGTAATATTAAAATATATGTTTTTTGTGAATGTTTCACAATCAATAAGGCAAGGATGACCAAACATTTAAAAATCAAATGATAATCGGTCACACAACAAACTTCATTGAAATGTACCAGTACTTTTCCCAGAAAATAACATATTATGTAATCCAACAAAATCTAATAAATTTCTGGATGTTTTATAAAAAATTTCAAACATAAAGAAAAGTCAATGTTCAACAAATGGAATAAAATTGAAAGCTGCTGAATCTAATAAGACTTTACGATTTTATTCGTTCGTGTTAGCCTTTGCGTAAAATAAAAATCAACATCTGGCGTCTGGAAATTCCGGTGTAACAGAACATATGCGTGCAGCTCACATCTAGGCTTAAAAATAAAAAAAAAACCACAATCAAGCCTCGTTTGACAGAAATAATGATCAAAGAAAGCATTTTCACAATCTTCTGAAGAAAACCTCGCAAAATACTTTGAGTGCAAACGCCGGAAAAAGTAAATGCACGAATAGATGGGAATTATTATTTGAATCACGAATCGAATGGCATCCCAACAAGTTCTCGATTTGCAGTTCATAAATATGGAATCATTTCAGAAACCAAACAACTTCGATTTCCTACACACTTGAAAAAGCAGAAAATTCGACTAAATATCGAATTATATGTGTTCATCTTAATAGAATTTCCAAAAACCGTTTGTAAATAAACACTACGCTTTGTTAGCCTTCTGTGATGATTAATGAGCTTCCTAACAAATTGATTGTGAGCAGAAAAAAAAAACTACTATTTAGCATAACTCCTTCTGGAGTTGTCTACTTCAGCAAAGTTGCATTAAGGTAAATAAATCATTGTAGCGCTGAAACAATAATAATTAAAATAACGATAGAGAAAAATTTTGATGTAAAAATATATGATGTAAGCTTTTTAGGCCGGAAAATATTTTACCGGCAATTTCAATCCAACCGGTAATTTGTACTAAATGCTTGCTCCACCTTATCACCAGTAGATCGTCCAAGATCGACACAAGAAACAACAAAAAACCGGTGAAATATTAGTATCAGCCGTGTCTTAAAAGTAAAGTTAATGAAATTTTAAAAAGTTGAACTAATTTTCTCCACACGCATATGGAATGCGCTGTACATGAATATAGCTTAATCCTTATCAAAGATTTACCTGGGAAAAATTGTATTTTGCCAATGACCCCATACACAATTCCACGGCATTTCAATGACCAGGCCTCGCCCAAATCAACTCCTGTGGTAAATAAAACTCACATTACTTTTGTATTTGGTACACCGAGTAACAATCGATCATGGAAAGGTTTCGCCCAAACACCGGTCGACAGTCAAAACGAGGCCTTACCAAAGCGTGGCTGAAGGCGGCCGTCAAGCCTGTTACACCACAAACTATCAGGTCCATTTAGAATGATGAAGTTGTCCTGAGCTTGGAATAGTTCCATCTTTTAACCAGGAGCGAGGGACGAACTATAAATCCCATCTGCGAGCATTATCCCGACTTCCGAGTTTCTCTGTCAATGTTTCCTAGCCGCCATGTTGTGTTTTGGCTGAAGTGCCTTTGTTACCCACAACTCCCAGCGGACTTGGCAAGCTCTGTGCGCACGAGATCTCATTGTCTTCCGAGACAGCGTGCTGTTGTTTAGTTTGAGCTGCTCTCCAGGATCGTTTTCCTCCTCTAAGTAGTTTTTCCACGATGAACTGATGGATCAAATACCCTGTATCCCGTTGCTGTGTGTGAAAATTGTTTCAATCAGAATTAAAAATAGACTGGTTTTGTGACATGATATTTTTTCTTTTTTTTCGGGGGGAGGGGGGGGGGGAAGGTAAGGTGCGGGGGGATTCCTTTAGAGTACACTGAAATTATTCCCCCTCAAAGGCACCCCCCTTTATAGAAGGTTATTTTAAGTTTTAAGTTTTTAGTACAGAGATCGATCGATCTGTCAAACCTTTAAACAAAGCGAGAAGAGGGAATCTAGATCATTCTGGTACATTTGTAAGTCTTTACATCCCTTATCTTCGTTTCTCTGAAGCAATGATTGCTCGAAGATTGCGTCATATCTCGCTGTAATCATGTAATCACCGCTCACGAGGTGATTGTAGTAGGAAACTTGAAAATAATCAATCTTAGAGACCAAGAAAGTCGTGACTCTGGTAATCTTCTGGTAAATTGAAATATGAAAAATAGGTGCCTACTTCAAATGATAAAGACATCATGAGAGCTCTTTTAAATTCCTCCGCTGAAAAGGACCGCAAGACTGAACAACTGAATTGTATCGAGACATCACGTGCAAAAAGAATAAGAAAGGACGTCCCATACCCCCTCCCCACATTCGCAAAAAGGAAACAGTTGATATGGCAACGCACGTGTATTCTGACCTTTTACGGGTACACTCCTTTCTTCAAATAATTATTTCTCTTTTCTTTTAGAAGATTAAAATTAATTGCACAGCAATCAGAATTTTAAATGAAGGCAATTACCGAAGCGCAAAGTTTGTCTTTCCTTTCCCTAGTTTTGAAAAAAATGGGAGGTCTTAATCATTTCAGAGAGTAGAGGTTTTCGACGATCGAATAATAACAAGATTTATACAGAAAGCCTGTAAATACTGCTTGCATATCGCCCTTGACGGGATATTTATACGAGCGCCTAGGTTGCGCAAAATGTGCGCAAACCTTATGTACCCAGTCTAAATTTCTGCCCCTCTTTCATCTATTAGTAAAATATGCTTATCTCGGCTCTTAGCTATCAGTTTCTAGACAGACCGTTATATTTTTGACCAACACTCGTCTGTTAGCTGAGCCCCGCGCAAGAATTGAATATGTCAAACCTTTCGACGGAAGTCAGTTGACTTACCAAAAAATAAGCGAAGAATGGTGCGGGGGAGGATATGGAGCCATTTAGTGATGGATAGATGAAGGGAGTTTCGGGTCCTAACCACAACTTAGAAATGATTTTCAGCTAATTTCCGAATTAAATTTGAAATGACATCTACAAATATTATAACACGTAAATGAATTTCGTGAAGAAGAGTGTTTCGTGCATAATTATGATAAAAGGGACAACCATTTAAAAGTGATTACCATGGCCACAGCTGACCTAATTCCTTTCAGTAGCCTTCGCGTTGCATAGAGATCATTTGCTTAGCTGACTTGTTCACTTGAGTTTGGGAAATAAGGTGTTAATAACGAGCCGTTCTCAGGTATGATAAGTATCGTATTTTACACCAAGGCTTTCTCGTTCATTGCTCTGTGGTTACACCGCCTGATATCTTTTTGTTAAAGGCCTTAGGCCAACACTTTACCGTGGGGTGATATCTGAGAGCGCAACAAAAAGGATACATTTGTTTCCCCTTTTCCGTAAAACTGTTCTACGCCGCAGGCGCTCGCTGTTTCTTTAGAAAGCCGCTGAAATTGAAAGAAAGTTTGTAATTGTGAGTAAAGGATCTCATTTCATTGCAAATTTGACGAACTAAGCAGGATTGAAGTAATAGATGTTGTTTGTTTATACTCATCAAATGCATTTAACAATAATCTGTGTTGCGCACGACTTCTGAGACGAGGGGGTTTTATTTCACACAAGAAAGAACATCATTTTCGAGGAAACCAAAAAAAGATTGTTCTACCTAAAGAAAAAGAAATTATCCACAGCTCTAGGTGCACGTCGCATTTTATGAGAACTATAATAAAAAAGCTGCGTGTGGCATTTTGAATACGAACATCGTAATGGCCTATTACATCCTAGAGCTCTCTGTAACCCAGTGGTAGAGCACTGAATCGTACATAGAGAGAGTCTGCGGTTTTATTCCTCACGAGGACTCAGAGATTTTTCGTTTTTTTTCTTTCTCATAAATTTTGAGATATTTTAAGATATTTTTCAGTGATCTCTCGTTACATAATGAAATTAACATTGTTGCTTAGTTATGTGACAACTTTGTTAATAACGTTGCGAAATATTTGGGAGGATACGAAGAACTGCTCTCCCATTTGCAGTAATTAGTTGTTTAACCCTCCGGAAAATGCAGATAAATGAATTGACACGTGCGGTAAAGGTTTCTGTAATAGCCTTTGTCTCCTTCCGATTTTGACGGTTGACGGCTTTAAGCCTTGGAGTGCCCCTGAGACTGGTTGACGGTTATAAGGATGACATTTTTTACAATGATTTTTAAAGCATATTGATATTTTTCTTTTATATGAATCATTAAATTATATTCAATTTTATTTAGTATTTCCCCTAGTTCCCAATATGATAGTTAGAATTAGCATTAGCGCCAGACCTCTCGCCATACTGGCGCAGACTTGCTTTGCTTAAGGCCCTTAATTCATTCCATCTCCTTCTCCTTCTCCTTCTCCTTCTCCTTCTCCTTCTCCTTCTCCTTCTCCTTCTCCTTCTCCTCCTCCTTCTCCTTCTCCTTCTTCTTCTCCTTCTTCTTCTTCTCCTTCTCCTTCTTCTTCTCCTTCTCCTTCTCCTTCTCCTTCTCCTTCTCCTTCTCCTTCTCCTTCTCCTTCTCCTTCTCCTTCTCCTTTCTCCTTCCCCTTCTCCTTCTCCTTCTCCTTCTTTTTCTCCTTTTCCTTTTCCTTCTCCTTCTCCTTCTCCTTCTCCTTCTCCTTCTCCTTCTCCTTCTCCTTCTCCTTCTCCTTCTCCTTCTTCTCCTTCTCTTTCTCTTTCTCTTTCTTCTCCTTCTCCTTCTCCTTCTCCTTCTCCTTCTCCTTCTCCTTCTCCTTCTCCTTCTCCTTCTCCTTCTCCTTCTCCTTCTCCTTCTCCTTCTCCTTCTCCTTCTCCTTCTCCTTCTCCTTCTCCTTCTCCTTCTCCTTCTCCTTCTCCTTCTCCTTCTCTTTCTCTTTCTCTTTCTTCTCCTTCTTCTCTCTCTCTCCTTCTCTTTCCCTTCTTCCTTCTTCTTTTAATTTGTCTTCTTTTTCGTTTTCTTTTTCTTCATCTTCGTCTTCGTCTTCGTCTTTTTCATAAGCAATATCTTATTGCGTGCAAATAATAGTGGCTCCTGATCAAGGCACGACATTGATACCGCTTATCTGATTGTTGCAGGAAACCAACGAAGGAATGCGGGTCAGTTCTTTAAGCCGTCGTCACTTCTTCTTTATTTTAGCCATTGGAGGAATCGCAATCTTCGCGTTTACAAACATGAGGAGTAAAAATCTTGGTGGGTAGGTTTAAATTTCGTGCGCATTTGCATACCACGAAAATTGTTCAGAATGTATATCAACAAAAAAGTTATCACTTCAGTCATATAACTTTTTAAAGAAGGAGTTGGAGGTAAAGGTTATCTCGTAGCTATTCCTTCCGTGGCCTAGAAGGCAGGATCTGTGTACGATATTTAATTTCTCCGAAAAAGGTTTACCCAGAGCGAAGTTTATTTGTCAAGTTGTTCATCTGAGTTGAAAATTAGCTTCTGTTTGTGTACTTGCGTGTCTTATCCAGTCTTGTCCTGAACTCACCAAGTTCGAAACGAGCGGAAGTCTGGATACGAATTGCTACCGCAAAGTCGCTATGGACCCTTTTATGGGAAAGTACTGCCACAGAATCCTCAACGACCCTCCGATACGGTAGAAGCAAGCAGTCCTCGCTAAAAAGGAAGCGATGAAATACTCTCAGCTTACTTCGAAGGCGGAGGGAAATGAAAAAGAACCCATCTGCCCTGGATAGATTGTTTTTAGAACAATATCGACAGCTGATGAAAATTGTACATTTTATTTTTGTCTTTCACAGTCACCATTTCGACCGTTCAAGAGCTAATTTCGAGTCCTGAATTAAACCAAGTTATGACACAAATTGCGCGAACAGATGGAAATGGAACTACCCCAGGTAACTAACTTAACTTCATTTTTGTTCCAATTTCATTTACAAGGCAGTCAAATCATTCAGCCTCGAATCAAGGAAGACATTTAGTTTGCCTGAACATGTTACGCAAAGGGGCATTTTTTCCCTCTGCAAACCCTAATGAAGAGCATATGGAACTGTCATCCGTCAATTACTTCTACAAGTCTATTTTTTTATCACGTTTACAAAAGTCTGCCAAAATTTAAATTTGAAGTAAGCTGTCAATGGGTACGAAAACAGTGAACCAATCCGCCTCGCTTACAATTGACCAATCAACGTTGGATGGAAATCATTACTTTAGTATTCATGGGTAAAGTAGATTGGATCAATATCAGTATCTGGGCAACTGCCCATCTACCCCTCCCCTAACCCAACATTAACTTTAACTTGTTGTCAATTGACTGTTGTTGAGTTAGGGGACGGGTAGGTGGGAAGTTGCCCAGATACTGATATTGATCCAGTAGTTTAAAGCTAGAAGGGATGATTATGCAAATGACCAAACAAATATTTCCCTATCGAGTTCACAAAATGGGTTCATTGGAGCTTCCATCTCAAAGATACTTAATTTCCCCATGATCTTCCAAATCCAAAGAGATCCTGTCAGGTCGGGGGGCGTTTTGTTTTACCTATGCATTTTCTTATCTTATCAGCAGAAAAAGATGAGTACAAGACCATTGATACGCTGCTGTTTTTTGTTGGCTACCCAAGAAGTCGTCA